TTCTCTAATCACTGTGTGAAGAAGGCATTGTTATGGAGGCCAGAATGAAACAGGAGCATGAGGTATCACCATGGCCAAGAGATGAGACAGTCCTACAAAGGAAAAAGTGATCATTAGTACTAAATGGGATATGTTATTGGATTTAGAGACATGAGTGTTATTGCAGACTTCGAAGGGGTAGTTTCAGTAGAGTCACCTGCTGTCTGTGCCTAAATTCTCACTCATCCACCATTTGACAATAAGCCACATGCTATACACATTATTTGTTTTTTATATTTGGATTTAAGGTCTGTGATTTTTTAAAATAAATAATAGAGTTATAGAATGGCAAAGAGGAACCAAACCATCATCTCAGAGTTCCTCCTTCTGGGCCTGCCTATCCAGCCAGAGCATCAAAACCTGTTCTATGCTCTGTTCCTGGCCATGTATGTTACCACCCTCCTGGGGAACCTCCTCATAATGTTCCTGATTCGACTGGACCCCCACCTCCACACACCCATGTATTTATTTCTCAGTAACCTGTCTTTCTCTGACCTCTGCTTCTCCTCTGTCACCATGCCTAAGTTGTTGCAGAATATGAAGAGCCATGCCCTGTCCATCCCCTCTGCAGGCTGTCTGGCCCAGATGTATTTTTACTTGTTTTTTGGAGTTCTTGAGAGCTTCCTGCTTGTGGCCATGGCCTATGACCGCTACGTGGCCATCTGCTTCCCCCTGCGTTACGCTGCCATCATGAGCCCCAGGCTCTGTCTCTCTCTGCTGGCGCTGTCCTGGGTGCTGACCACTGCCCACGCCACATTGCACACCCTGCTCACGGCCAGGCTGTCCTTCTGTGCTGACAATGTGATTCCTCACTTTTTCTGTGACACATCTACTTTGTTGAAGCTGTCCTGCTCTGATACTCGAGTCAATGGGTTGGTTATACTTTTCATAGGAGGACTCATTCTCGTGATCCCGTTTCTACTCATTGTCATGTCCTATGCACGAATTGTCTCCTCCATCCTCAAAGTTCCTTCTGCCAGGGGTATCCGCAAGGCCTTCTCCACCTGTGGCTCCCACCTCTCCATGGTGTCTCTCTTCTATGGGACAATCATTGGTCTCTACTTGTGCCCATCAACTAATAATTCTACTGTTAAGGAGACTGTGCTGGCTGTGATGTACACTGTGGTGACCCCCATGCTGAACCCCTTCATCTACAGCTTGAGGAACAGAGACATGAAAAGAGCCCTGGGAAGAGTCTTTTGGAAAAAGAAAATATCTTTCTCTCTAAAACAGTAACAATTGGGATTTTTACACTATTTAATTCAGTGGTTATGGTAATGTTGCCAGTGGAGTATTACTCTAAATCAGTGGCTTTCTTTTTTCAGTTTTAAAGCCATTAACCTTTTTATTCAAGCAAAACCCCATGATAAAGGCTAATATGAAAATATGATGACGATGAAACTCTGTTTGAAGTAGAATTGAGGTCAGGAAACCATCTGCTCTGCATCTTTATTTTCCTCTTCCCAGGTGGAATTCATGTTTGAAAATAAGATTTATACATTTTCTGTGCAGAATGTCTACTATCCATGTCAATTCAGGAATTAGCTTTTCAAGCATCACTGGAATCATTGCTTTCTTCCTGCTCAAAAATCCTTAATGATGCTCACAAATGAAGAAAGAATGAAATGTACGCTTTCTGGCTCACAGAAGCACAGAGACTCCTGGAATTCTCTATTTCTGATACATCTTCCCTTTTTTCACCATGATTAAAAACATTTGTTACTACCTTATCTTCTTATCTCCATTTTATTCTTTAATTTTACTTTTTGGGCCCAGATCAGAGCAACCTTCCTTTAAGAGAGATAATAAATAGAAAACACTTAGTGAGTGTTTTTGTATGTGTCAGGCACTTTTCCCATCTGTTAATCTACCACCTCTATGGTGTTGCTCCTATTATTTTCCTTTTTACAGACAAAGTGATAGAAACATTAATTTACTGTCCAACATCACATAGAAGTAAGTGGTGTAGTTAAGATCTGAACTCAGGTAGTTCAGCTTCACAGTTCTAGATCTCCATGACCATACAATACTGCATCTTCAGACTATAGCATCTTACTCTCTTCCATTATAACGGTGGATTCTGTCCAGTTCCAATCACTTGTTAATCAATCATGCTGATTTTTCATGTACTTTTCATATTTCTTATTGAGGCATTGAATTTCTGTTTTCTTCATACACAACCAGAAATTATAGAACAGAAGTTGTAAACTGTATTCCTGGGGAGCCAAGCAAGAAATATGATGAGTGTAAAGTGTATCAGATTTAAGAAAACTCAACTGCAGGGTTATGGTCAAAGATATTTTATTTTATGAATACATGGAGTATATATACCTCTACCATAACTCAAAAATCTATGCTACTAGAGATGATATAACTTTCATATTGAATAAATTCTAATTGAAAATAGAAATATTTAATCATGAAATATATTATTGTATCTTGTTACTCCTTTGATTTAGAAACAAATGGCAGTTTTCTTTCTGACTAGTGTGACATCTTTTGTTTTTCTCTTGAATTACCTAGTAGGAAATTCAGACTTGGGTCTAATAACCAGGAGTGATATTTAGAGTTTTTTCCTGTTTAATAATAGATAAGAGCTGTTTGCAAGTGCATACACTTTGAATATATGTCAAATTTTTGCACAAGCATTTTTATATTTAGAGTTGCTTTTCGTCATACAAACAAAAACCACTGCAATGATGTAAAGTAATTAGCCTCCAACTAATAAAAATAAATGGAAAAAAAACAAAAAAAAATAGAGTTGCTTTTCTGATGATATAAATAGAATTTTGATATTCTGAGGTTGCTATATATTTTTCAATATTACATTGCACTGTATCATTAATGTTTTTTTTTGCTCTTTATTTATACCATCATATTGGGAGAGGTGAGCTAAAATGTTCATATAACACATAATATTATTTTATTGTCATATAATTGGTAATAAAGGAATCTTTTAAAATAATTCATTCTTCAACTCTATAATTTTAGATATCTAGACAGGTTATTACTTTCATTTCTGTAAATGCACTTTAGCAATTGTGAGTAGCTTGCATTATTCTTTGCCGAATTAAGTTTGCAAAGAGTTTTTAAAAAAGGAATCAGTCAATTGAATTATTTATTTGTGCAATTATTTGTGAATTCCTTTGCAGAGAAGTATTCAGAGTGGTTACATGATTTTCAGTGTCAAATCAAGGCCGTGTATCTAATCAAAGCTTTGCAAATATTAGAGTTACATTTTTTTTTTGCCTCACATGAGTAACTCATTTTCTTTAAACATTTCCAAAGCCTTTTTGGCCCCATGATGCCTAACCTCCATGCAGTACCAAAGGCCACAATCTTGAGTATCCAAGATATTAAGTAGAGGGTTGGATGACCAGTTCAATTCTTGGGAACACATTCAGTTTATGATATTAATCACTGTTCTGTGATGGGCTTCATTTTTTACTTTTTAGCACTGAAAAATTACTGCAAAAAGTAAACTCATATTCAGTGTCATGCAAAATGTTGCCACTTTGGATTTTATTTTAAAAAAATGTTTGATATTATTACCAATATGGCCAGAGTACAGTTTGTAGCCAGTAATTTCAATCATCTCACATAAAAAATTTGAAGCTTTTCTTTCCCCCAACATATTTTCAACTAATATCTTGATATTGAACCTGTTAGGAGAGTCTTAGCCAAAATTTCAGAGAAATGATCAAACTTCTCATCAACAACACAAACAAATATGGCGAATTGAGTGGTATTATTTGCCTATATTCTCACGTGGCAACAGACCATATGAATGCTTGTCTCTGTTCGAAGCACAAAATTTTTGCTAAATCCTAAAGATACTAAAAAATCTCTAAAAGATTTGATGCCCAATTATTTCATTTAATACAACAACATTTTACAATATCATTGTTCATTTTATAATTATATGGAAAAATAAACCATTTAAACATTTTATTTTGGTTTCTGCTTGTTAAATTTTTCACGTCATAACTTTGCTGTACAGTGGTCATTGTAAGATTTGCTTAAAATAAAATAGTTTGGACACAGGTTCATTTTGCTTATTTACTAAACATGTTGGAATACTGTATTTTTCCAGAAAGAAATATTCTTGGCATTGTAGTACTGTGGTCAGGTAAATTGAAGGATACATGCTATGTGCTTAGTAGTTCAATCATGTCTGACTCTTTGTGACCCTTTGGACTATAGTCTTCCAGGCTCCTCTGTCCATGGGATTTTTCAGGTAAGAATACTAGAGTGGGTTGCTATTTCCTTCTCCAGGGAATCTTCCTGACCCAGGGATCGAACCAGTGTCTCCTGTGTTTCCTGCATTGCAGGCTGACTCTTCACCTGCTTAGCCATCGGGAAAGCCTAAGTTGAAGGATTTTATGCTACAAAATTCTGGTATTACTGTTGTGCTGTGCTGTGCTTAGTCGCTCAGTTGTGTCTGACTCTTTGCGACCCCATGGCCTGTGGCCCGCCAGGCTTCTCTGTCCATGGGGATTCCCCAGGCAAGAATACTGGAGTAGGTTGCCATGCCCTCCTCCAGGGGATCTTCCCAACCCAGGGATTGAACCCAGGTCTCCCTATTGCAGGCAGATTCTTTACTGACTGAACCACGAGGGAAGCCCAAGAATGTTAGAGTGGGGAGCCTATCCCTTCTCCAGGTGATCTTTTCATCCCAGGAATCAAACTGGGGTCTTCTGCATTGCAGGTGAATTCTTTACCAGCTGAGCCACCAGGAAAGCTGGTACTGGTTACCATGTTAGTGTGATCTTATTTATTTCCAAGACTTTTGTGCTTGGGGAATTTGGTTTATATGTGTATTTCTTTCCTTCACCACAAACATATACACTAATTCTGAGCTAGAGTTTTGCCCTAGTCATGTTGTTTATTTCATAAGATGTCTTGTACATGGAGGAAGAAATTCCCAGTGACCACTCAATGCCCCTTTTACAATATTGCCCTCATGTCAACCTCTGAAAGCCTTTCCCTTGAAACAGCCTTCCCAGAGCCCCATGCATGTCCTTGTTCCTCAGGCTGTAGATGAAAGGGTTCATCATGGGCGTTACCACAGCATACATCACTGTGGCTACTGAGTCCTTCATGGAGTAGGTTTGGATGGGCTGCAGATATACCATACAAAGGGTCCCATAGAAGAGGGAGACCACAGCCAGGTGGGAACCACAGGTGGAGAAAGCTTTGTATTTGCTGGAAGCTGAGGGTATTCGGAGGATGTCTCTGACAATCCGGACATAGGACACTATCATGAACCCAAAGGGAGTGAGGAAGATAAAGATGCCTGTGGTAATCAGCACTATGTGAGTGATCTGAGTGTTGGAACATGCGAGCCTCAGTAGGACATACATCTCACAGAAGATGTAGTGTATCTTCCGGGACCCACAGAAAGTCACCTTGGTCATGAGGAGGGTGAGCATGAGGCCATAGAGGACAGCAAGCACCCAACATGCGGTGAGGAGCAAAATACAGAGCCCAGGGCTCATGACTGTGACGCAGTGGAGCGGGCGGCAGATGGCCACGTAGCGGTCATATGCCATCGTGGCCAGGATGAGGTTGTCCAGAGTCACCAAGGAGACCAGGAAGTAGAGCTGGGTCAGACACCCCACATATGAGATGGCTTTGTTCTGGGACTGAAGGTTCACCAGCATCTTGGGGATTGTGTTGGTGACGAAGAAGAGGTCGGTGAAGGAGAGGTTGGCCAGGAAGAAGTACACGGGAGTGTGCAGGCGGGAGTCAGAGCCAATGGCTAAAATGATGGACACATTTCCCACCACCGTGACCAGGTACATGGACAGGAACATCCAAAACAGGACCCGCTCTTGCTCAGGATTCTCTGAGATCCCCAGGAGGAGGAAGTCAGAGACCCCAGTCTGATTGCCTCCATGCATTTTCCCAACTGTCTGCAATATCAGCACCAACAAACATCTGTTAAGTGCCCTCAATTGAAAAAACACATTCAGATAAGCAAAGTCATCTGTTTTCTTAGCATTAAAGTATCTTAGACCCAGTTTTATAATTTCTTTTTACACTAGAAATTATAACTAGAATTATAACTAGTAATAACAGATACAAGAATAGAACATGAAAAATCTTTATGCACCTTTAGCATTCCAGGAACTTCAAATTTGGCATAGTCAATATTATAGGCATTATGTTTGTGTCATATTTGAAATCCTATCATCATAAATACTCTTGAAGTGCTTTAATATTAGTATGTTGTTCTGTGGTATTACATAAGTTTTCCAGTGGTATTTTAAATAGGTATATCCATTATAAAAATGGGTGTTATACAAGTGAGCAATGAAAGGGTAAGTAAAAATATTGAAAAGAGAAGGAAAAATTATCACTGTTTGCCTGTGGGAAATCTAAGATACTTACCTAAAATACCATTAGAAATAAAGAGGGTTTTTTAAAAAAGGAAAATATTGGTTTGGCCAAAAAGAAAAACCAAACAAACCTTTTGGCCAAACCAATAAAAGAAAAAAAAAAAGAATTTACATTAAACTGGACAATCATACAGTATATGGATCCCAAACTAATACTGCTCCCATAGTCATTTTTTGCAGTTACTAAGACTGTATTGTTGAAACACTCGAATTCAAGTGTGAGTGTATCCACTTGTGAATTCTCTAGTAAATTACCTGAGCTCTTTAATAATCAGTTTCTTTATGTGTAAATGGATCAGGACAAGGATAAAGTAAGTAACAATATGCTTAACATGAAGAGCTTAACACTCTGCAGTGAGCAGTCAAAAAACATTACCTATAGTTATTATATGTAAAAAATAATCAACAAAGGTTAGGATAAAATATAATGTGAAACAATCCCATTGCACTTCAACAAAGTGCTCAGCTTCTAGGGGTTGTGGGGTTACTCAGAAAGATTGCTGTCTCCTCACCCCCAGCTCCAGAGCCATGGCTTAGCGATTTAACTGGGCAAAGAAACAGCCCTAAAAATAGCTCTTAACCAAGTTTGTGTTGCAACAGAGCATGGAAGTTCAGGCCAAAAATTGCTCTCAAAACTGCTGAGTTTGTGGCAAAAGGCAATTGAGAGGAGATTAATGGATTTAATACTGATACAGCCTAGGCTATAGGTCAGCTCATGTGGAAAACTGAGGAATAAGACAGCAGAGAGGAGCCTTTTTGGAGACAGAACAGATATTAAACTCTGACCTACAACATTATTCCTTCAAAGGAGTCACAATTTGATTGGATTATTTTGTAGAGCAATTTATGCCCCAAAGAATTGTTAAAAATAATAGAGAATCAGCTGCTATTTAGTAGCGTTTAACAGCTGAGTATTTTGAGGTAAAGAGAAGAAGAGGTCTACCAATATTACTGTCAGTTCAGTGTTGTAAACATATCCATGGTCGTGCTGCCCTAGGAGCAACATCAGAGGCTTAACGCTGTGGAGGTAAAATTGGCTATCATAAAATAATTCAGCCAATGCTAGACAAATAAGTAAATAACAATAGTAAGATCCAGAAGGGAGGTTCAGTACCCAGAGTTGTTACAGTGTGTTAGCCAAAATGCCCCATTTCCAGCAAATGATTATGTCATAAAAATAAACAGAAAAATATGACCCATACAGCAGAGTAAAGAGCAGGCAAGAGACACTGCTTCTGAGAATGACCAGATGACAGGCTTAACAGAGAGAGGTTTCAAAGTAGCCATTAAAATATGTTGATGGAACTAAAGGAAAATATGACTGAAGAAGTAAAAGAAAGTATAATGACAATGCCAAATCAAATCAAGATTATCAATAGGAGGAAGGAAATTTTAAAATATAAGCATATGGAAATTGTGGAGTTGAAAAGTAAAATAATTAAAATAAAAAATTCATTAGAGGGCCTCTACAGTAGGTTAGAACTGGCAGAATTAGTAAACTCTAGATTGATGGATATAGATTATGCAAGTTGAAAAAAAAAGAGAAAATAATTAAAAATGAAGAGAGATGTAAAACACCATTAAGCACACCAACATACATGTAGTGGGAGTACCAGAAAGAGGAGGAGAGAAAGAGAGAGAAGCAGAAAAATATTTGAAGAAATAATTATTAAAACTCCCCAAATTTATTGGAAAATACACATCCAAAATCTTAGCAAACTCCAAGTGAGATAAACAGAGAGAGATCCACAAATGTACACATCATAGGAAAAATGCTAAAAGGCGAAACAAGGAGAAAATCTTGAAAGCAGCAAGAAACAAATGACTCTACTTGCACAAAAACCATATTAGCTTCCCAGGTGCCACTATTGGTAAATCTGCCTGCCAGTGCAAGAGACCCAAGTTACTAGGGTTCGATCCCTGGGTTGGAAAGATACCCTGGAGTAAGGAATGGCAACCCACTCCAGTATTCTTGCTTGGAAAATTCCATGGACAGAGGAGCCTGGCAGGCTACAGTCCATGGGCTTGCAAAGAGTCAGACACGACTGAGCACATACACACATACACACATACACACACACACAGGAACCATAATATCAAGAGTTGACAGAAGCAGTTCTCCAACCCAAATGGGAATGATCATAAAATGAGTCCTATTCTTAACTATTTTCTCAAATTTCTGATTATCTCCTCTGTCTTCCTGTTAAAAAACTATAGTCTCAAGATAAAGAGGCATCAGTGGCCCCACTCTCCACAATTCTGGACCTGGTTCTGCCCCCTACATAGATAGGAGCTGCTTCATCCGACCTGTGTCTGCAGGGAGCGGTCCTGATGGGGACTCTTTGTGACTGGCACCTTTGTGATATCTACAAGGGGAGACACAGAGAGAGGGAGTGTATTAATACAGGCTTCCTGAATGCAAGGATAGGATTTGTTCAAGTCAGGACCCAGGTAATAAAAGATCATTCGGGCTCTCTTCCAGAAGACTTAAGCTAATGAGGAGGGTTGGTGTGGGTGTAAATTCCTCATCACAGAAGGCATTCGAACATGATCCCACAGGCTGAGTGATTGTTTCAGAGCTGATTCAAGCTTCTGTTGGAAGTGGGTGATGGTTAAACTCTCTTTCAACACTAAGAATCCAAAGTATAAGACCAATCTTGTGGTAGTGACATTTGAGTGAAAACGGCCCTGACTCTCAGCACAGGCTCCAGAGACTTTTGTGTATGTACAGCTTCCTTCGTCTGTTGTTACTATAAAATTCATCTATGGTTCTACACCAAAACTGAGCTCATTTATTTCTCCTAGTGATTAAAGGAAGGTTTTAGCTTGAGATCTGTCCCCAAGGTCACCAAGTGATACCGTGGCAGAGATGAGGCTTTGACCAGGAGAGTTCCAAGCTAGGTGTATGCACTTTATGTTAGCCTAGAGCTGGAAAGACATAGAAAACCTGGAAACTTGAGGCTAGCAAAACGAAAGCGGCCCACCCCTTAGAAAAACAGAATTGACTACTCCAAGACCCACAGACTGGCCTAAGAAGGAAAAACTGACTCCCAGAGTAATCCCCAACCCTGAGCATACCTGGCTGCTACCTGTTTCTGCCATGGAGACAAAGGTTTTCCACCTCCTTAGACCTCATCAGAAAGCTGCTTACTTTCACAGCCTATTGTCAGAAGTTCAGGACCCTTTGGGGCATCTGCCTGATGGGAGGGAGGGTGGGAGGCAAGTATGAGGGCTGGGAAAAGTCAGAGGACACCCAGAGAAATTAGTATCTTTGCTTTTGCCCTCAATGGTAAGTGTCTCCCACACTTTAGTATGCACTGGAATCACCAGTGATGCTTTAAAACAAAAAGCTTGTTTTCTCATCTCTTTGTTTCTCCTTCCTTGAAATACTGGTTCTGTTCTGAGAACTAAGTCCTTTTTAAGCAATAACCTGGTGATTCTGATCATTCACATAGGGGAACCACTGCTCTGCCTCTGTACAAGTCAGTGGTTTCTGAACACTGGTGTGGTTCAGATAGCCTTAGAGACACAAACTCCGCTGAAGTATGGCTGGGCGGAGAGGGGAGAATAGGAGGTGGTATGGGAAAATATTCCATGCTTGATGTTGGAATACTAGTCTTTTGAATCTCTTGTGTCACCCCCTAGCTGCATGACCTTGAGGAGGGCATACATCTTCCCAGAGCCACCTCATCTCGTCCATGAGGACTTTCTTGCAAGTTTGAGAAGCAGGTGCAGCAAGGCATGTGACGGCATTTTATAGCATGCTATAAGAATTAGATGACATTTTATATTATCTTTAAATACTAAGGAATTGGATTGTATGAATGCTCTTTCAATGTTTGTGACTATGTTTTTGAGACAGAGAAACTGGGGAAGAGAGAAGATAGGGAAAGGAGAAGAGAGACAACATGAGCTTGTGATGGCCATACCTTACTCTCTGTTCGTCTGGCTCTCAGAGTCGCTTGGTTCTGCTGCCTCCAGTTTCCTCCTGTATAGGATAGAAGTTCAGTCAGGACACAGAGGACCCTAAGACATTGCTTTGTCAATAGGACTTAGTGATTTGTCCTACTGGCTAAAGATGGGAAGAAGGTATTAGTGCCTGGATCTTCTGTCCCTGTGAGAGAGGAGACAGAATGGAAGGCTGTGGGTGCTCTGATGAGGATAAGGAATCTGAGAAATGATGTTTCAATCTCACATTCCTAAAGAAAAAGGAGTGTTCTAGGGGCATGCCTACTATCAGTTTTGATGGGGCCTTGGGGAAGCAATCCCATGACAGTTTATTGAGATGAACCTGGATAATTGCTCCAGTGTTAATATCTATAAGAAAAGGTCTTGGGAAATGAATTTTATTTACAAGGAATAAACGAGCTCCCTATGGGGATGTCTTCCTTTTAGGAAGCCTTCTTAAAAGGGTTCCTTGAAGTTTAAGAGTACACCAGAGTTAAAGAAGACATCAAGCATGTGCTCCTGCCTGGCTTTGAGTCCCCAGGGGAATGAAAAGT